AACCTTCATATTATCTTTTTGATATTTCTTGACTTCAACGAAGGTAGGGTCATTATGAACCGACGGGCTAAAAATGAATATACGGGCGAAGCAGTCCCTATAAACATTTAGGATAAGGTTTTGAATTAAAACTGTTTTGCCACCCGTTGATGAAGCAACAACAATTGAGCGAAAAGGTAGTTTTGGCACATGTTCATATTTAGATTGTTTGAAATCGTAATCAGTTATATTTATTGGTTTTATTATTGGAACGTTTGTCATAATTGATATTAAAGATATATAGAAAATTATATTTAAAAATTAACTTGTAATTATTATTGAATGGAACATCTTTTTTTATGATATGCTGGTAGTGAATATCATAAAAACGGAACAGGTTTCCATTGCTTCAATCAATAAGCATTGAAGATAATTAGTTTTGTGTCTTGCTCGCGTGTGCAATGAAAACCCAAGTGCTGTGCCCCACCAATATTCTATTATGCATGAAAATAATAAGATCAAATAATTATTTTTAATGATTATTTCATCTTATTATTTAATATGGATAGAAGTTATTCAGATTATATTGATATAATAGATGAAGTAGAGAATATAGAACAAGTGATAATAACTGACAACAGATGTAAGAAAGTATGCTTTTATACATTAGAATTAATAAAATTAGGAATACAATATATCAAAAATAAAAATGTAAATATTAATATAAATGGGAAAAAAGAAAAACAAAAAGAATAAAACAGATACTACAGTTTCTTCAACAGATGAAGAAAAAGAAGAAATTGTTAAAGAAACAGCACTAACCGAGTTTGAGTGTCCTATGTGTAAAAGATGTTAGCAATGAAGAACGAATTAGAAATTCAAAAGAAAGGAAATTGTAAATGTTCGTGTATTCCGACAAATTTCAAATTGAGTAAAAACGATAAGAAAATGAATATTGATAAAACTAAAGACAGTATCAACTTAGAAACTGATGTCCATAATATAACTTTTAAATGGGGAAGGCATGCGTCACCATCCGATAATGGTGATAACGAAGCACAGGAAACTATTAAACAAATGATGAAAATTTAGTACTTAAAGAGTAGATTTTACATTAAATCAATTTTATAAATAATTAAATATTTAAATAAATAATTATATAAATAAATATATATAGAAATGTCTGAAGTTGAGAATGATTCTATTTCTGAACTATCAAAGAAAATAATGACAGTTAGTAAAAATGTTAAACTGTTGTACGAGATGATAAAAACTATTGACCAGAAACTTGATGCAAAGGCAAACGAACCAAAAGATAACAATGAAGAGAAGGAAAAGATTGACAAAATCTTTGAAAAGAAAGGGATAGGCAGACCCAGCGGTGATTATGACACGAAGCGTAAAAAATATTGTGATATGTTAAATAAGGGACAAATCAAAAGTCCAAAAGAACAAACATTAGAATACTATAAGATTATTAAGGAAGATGATAAATATGTATATTTCTAAAACATTATCTAAATCATTCTAATAAACAATATGAATTTATTAGAATTATTTAGTGGAACTGGAAGTGTAGGAACCATAGCAAAGTCACTCGGTTATAATGTCATCTCATTAGACTTGAAAAATGCTGATATTAATTGTGATATTTTGGAATGGGATTATAAACAATTTGACAGAAACCATTTTGATTTTATTTGGAGCAGTCCCCCGTGCACTGAATATAGTGTAGCAAAAACTAAGGGAATTAGGAATATTGAATATGCTAATAGTATAGTTTTAAAAACTATTGAGATTATCAAATATTTTAATCCTAAATATTTTGTAATCGAAAATCCTCAAACTGGATTATTAAAAAATCAGGAGTTTATGAATGAGTTTGATTTTAAAGATGTTGATTATTGCAAATATGGATTTAATTACAGAAAACGCACTAGACTTTGGAATAACATTACGAATTGGACACCTAGAGATTTATGTAATAGAGATTGTGGAAAAATAAGGAATAATAAACATATTGAAACTGCGCAACGACTGCCATCAAAAACTAAAGCAGAATGGGGGGATAATTATGTAATACATAAGCAGGAAGATTTATACAAAATACCTGCTGAATTGATTTGTGAGATTTTGACGAGTTTGACAGATTAAGGAATTTGAGTTGGGGTTGGAGTTCAAACTTGGAATTTCTAGGTTCATCCAACGACAACACAGTAAAATTTATGAAATTTAAAATTTTGAAAGTGGTGAATTTTAAGGGGATAATCCATAGTTTATAAAATAAATAAAACACCAAAATATATATAGATATATCCAGAAACTCTTGCCAATCGCCAAACAGGGCAACAAAAAATTGGCGAGAGTTTCCCCCTTATATAATATATAAATATAAGAAAAAACCCTCCCAACTCCTCCCGTCCATACCTAGTAGAGGAAAGCCTTGTAGATAAAGTCCATGATGAAGATACCTGCACAGAGCAAAGTCGCGTGAGGAAAACAACATCAAAAACACTCCAATAAAAATGAAAGAATGGTTCCCAAAGCATATCATTTTCACTCATCGCAAATGTGGAGAGGGTCTCTGGGAAAGTCTTACGCCTTCCACCAGACGAAAATGTTAATCCATCAACGCCGGATGCCACCACTTTGAAGCAAAGAAAACATTGAACACTTGCTCACTAAGGGTGTGATGGTTGCTCACTAAGGTTGTGATGGTTGCTCACTAAGGTTGTGATGGTTGCTCACTAAGGTTGTGATGGTTGCTCACTAAGGTTGTGATGGTTGCTCACTAAGGTTGTGATGGTTGCTCACTAAGGTTGTGATGGTTGCTCCCACATGTCAAACTCAAAATCACAGGGCGCACATAGCAAAGATGTCCACGAAGAAGTCGTAGCGCGGGACAGGCAGGCAGTTAACCCTAAAAGAGGGACATCCCATAAACCTTACAATAAAAAACATTGTAAGATTTATGTTTGAAAATTATGGGGATTTTATATTTTGGGATTTTGGGAGAATATATTTTGGGAATTTGGGATCTTTAAGATGGTCTGGTCTTAAAGACATGCCACCTATCAATAGTAGCATGGAGATGACTGACAAAATGCAAAAATGTAGGCGATGTGAAAACACTTATCTACCTGACCTATTTAATGTTAGAGTGCATATTTGTGATTACTGCCGAGAACAAAGTAAAATTGATAGGAAGGAAAAGAAAAAGGAATATAATAAAGTGCGTAATCAGATTGAAATAGAATGTGATATTTGCCAGTGTAAAGTGAGGAAATCTGCAATATCCAAGCATTTGAAAACGTTGAAACATATTGAGAATGAGAATAAAGTAAAAACAACAGTTGAGGAAGAAAAACCTAATGAAATTGAAAATTCAAAACCTCCAGTAGCACCAGAGGTCAAAAAGGAAATGGAGGAAGTGAAGGACAAAGTTTTTCAAATTGTAGGTGAATTACCCTTTCTGGAAAATTATTTCATTTCAGCATATTCCGTGAGGAATTCTGCAATTATTCAAATTATGAAATAATATGATTTAAATTTTAACCATAAACTTTACAATAAGAATATTGTAAAACTTATGATTTATAATTCTTCGGAAAAATGACAATTTTGTAAAATACTATTTTTGAAAATTTAGAAAAATATTTACAAAATTTATGTATCAAATCTTGAGTTGAGGTTCTGTTATGAATTGATGAAAAAATATTATGTGAATTGGTCGGTTGAGGGGATTTTATCCAACTGGGGCCTGGCCTTTGGTAGGTGGTGGGGGGGGGGGGGTTCGTTTGTTTGCTTTTCTTTTTTTCTTTTTGGGGGGGAGGAGGTTGTTTTTGGGGGGGTTCCTTTTTTTATGCTTCTTTTTTTTTTTGGGGGGGGGGGAGGGTGGTTGGGGGTGTTTTGGGGGGAGGAGGTTGAAAACGGAATGGCTTCGGACAATGGAGGTCAATTTGAATGGTGGGTCTGAATATGAAGAGTGAGAGAATATGAGTAGTGTGCTATATTTTAGGGTAGACTGACCAAGCAGAATCTGAAAGTATGAGTTTTGGTGCCTCAATAGATTTGGATCGCCTGGCAGACCCCCTGAACCGGTCCCTCAAGGACAAGGGTCTTCCAGCTGTGCAGGCTCGATTTGTTTGATTATTTTGGGAGGGCATCCTGAAGGATAGCTCAAAGGCTGTTGTCCTCTAAAAAGGGGCAAGGCCCCTTTCATGGCAAAACTCCGAAAAACTCCGAGAAGGTTCCTTGTGGGCTTTCTTGTTTGGTCCGGGTCCATTCACGCTTTGAGCTCCGCGCTCGAAATCACCCCAGGTGGTATCGGGACTCAAAGCTTCCTGAAAGCTCCCACCCGGAGCCGATTTCTGGGAGACCCATAGCTGAGCAGGTTCCAATTTGCCGCGTCTAGTCAGGTCTCGCCTGGGTGGTTTGGATTGGATTTCCTCAATTGGCTGAACCCCCCCTTCTTAACCACACTACCGGGCTCAGCAAAACCACCAATTGGAAGGCCTGTAAACCCCCCCCTACTCCAAAACACCTGGTTTTTTCCCATTCAAGGGCCATCTCTTCCCCTGGCGCTCCTCACTCTTTGGTTGACACCACCCAGCCACTTCCCATGGCACCGGCCGGGCTCGACTTCCGGGCGTTGATCCATTGGAAGGCTCTTTTTTTTGTTTTTTTTGGAAAAACGGGCTGACGCCACCCCGCCAAGGCTTCTTTTCGGGGGAAATGGGTGTGGCTCAAAATCAGAGATCCGGGGTGAGACGCAGGTTTTAGTCTTTGGTTCCATCTACCAAAGTGCATTTGGGTATGGCTCAAAATTCAAGAGCCAGGGTTACGCGGCTTTTAGTCTTTGGTTCCATGTACCAAAGAGCCATTTTGGTACCACTCTTTTGAGCCACAGCCATTTGTGTACCAATTTTTGAGCCACGGCCAGATGGGTTGGCACCCCCGACCCAAAAAAGCTTCCCCTGGCGCCGGCCCTCGGCCCGGGGCCCGCCACTCGCACTCGGCAGGCTCGGAGGCCTGCCTGCGCTGCGCGAAGGGCAGCTTCATGCCGGAGCCGCTGGGCCTTGAAACCACCTGGGAGAAAGCGGCAGGTCGGACAGCGCCCCCCCCCCCCCGCGGCGGTTTCTGCGGCTTTCCAAAAGGGGTATCTTTGTTTCATGTCTGTCTAGAAAACCTCCAGAAACCCGGGAAAACGCCTGGTTGGGAACATGCGGGGGTGGAGCAAGAACCCTCGTTTTTTCTCCAAAAGGGAAATCCAAGACATACATGATTGGGGGGCTTTTTTTTGGTGGTGCGCCATTTGTTTGTTGTACCACCCCTGTTGAAATATGTGGCCCAATACGCATGTTGTCATATACAGTTGTACAGTTGAGGCTACTGACATGTTTTGGCTCAAGAAAATAAGGCGCTCCGAAGCGGCCAAGTAGATTTTCATGGTAGCGGGGAGCAGTAAAGGTTCAGAGGGACCTAAGCGCTCAATTTGGTACTACGCCAGCAGAGGGCGTGGATCAGTACCGCCTTGGAGGCGGGGAGGCCGCGGACGCGGCAGGAGCCCGGCGGCGGTAGAGCCGCCAGGCGAGGAGGGCGCTTCGGTCGTGCCAGAGACCGAGGAGCTGCCGGTGGAGGAGACCGGGCCTGAGCCGGCAGCTGGCCTGCCGGTGGAGGAGCCACAGCTCGGAGGAGCTGAAGAGGGGCCAGAAGAATTGGCCTCGGGACCGGACTGGTCCCCCAACGAGGAGAGCGTTGCCCAGCAGGCAGCTGAGACAGAGAGGATCTTAGCTAAGCTGCTGGAGGAGCCAGAGGAGCCACCAAAGAAGAGAAAGAGGAGAGAGGATAAGCCCCCAGAGCTGAAGAAGCCGCCGCGCAAAGGGTGGATCGTCAATAGATCCACAGAGGCTTCAGCGTCGGACTCGGACGCCTGGGGCAACTGGCGATCTCCTTTGATCGCCCTGGCAGCCCCGTCCTCATCGCATCCGGAGGCTGCCAGCAGCACAGCGCCAGCGCCAGCAGCAGAAGCAGCAGCTGAGGAAGAGGAGGTCCAAGTAGAATCAGAGGAGGAGGCCCCTGCAGCAGCTGAGGAGAAGCCCGAGAAAGCAGGCAAGGGAAAGGGCAAAGGCAAGAAGGGCGAGAAGAAGAAGAAGAGCAAGGCGCCCTGGCCCCGCGTGAAGGAGAACTCAGCCGGTAAGTGGAAGGACGGACGCCGGTCTAAGGAGGCGAGGTCCTACCGGTTCTTGCGGGGCTTGGTCAAGTTGAACTTGAAGCGCAACAACCCGATCCCGCCTGCAGTCCAGGAAGCCCTCGATAAGTTCGAAGACGAGTACGGCTACGAGGTGCCTGTCCCCAAAGGCTTTGGCAGGAACGTGCAGCCAAAGTCCCCTCCAGGTGGTCCAAGGCAAAGGCCAAAGCGGGAGTTGACCCGCCGTAAGAGAAGGCCGACCAGTGGAAGCACCTCGGAGGAGGAGGAGGAGCCCACTGCCAAAGCAGCCGCAGCAGCTGAAGAAGCAGCAGCACCAGGCGCTGAGCCAATTGCATTGCTGCCGGAGGTGGCAGCCGCGGCGAAGTCTGCAGGCCGCGTGATCAGTGTGGCGCTAGCCACGCAAGAGGCAGCACTGCGCAGAGTGCGTGCAGGCAAAGCCACCCCGGAATCTGCATTGGCCAGCAACTAGCGCCTGAGGAACGCGGCAATCGCTCAGGAAATTGCCGAGAGCAAATCACCGGCTCAGGGAACAGCCGGAGCTGCCGTAGAGGCAGCGATCAGGGCCCAGGTGTTGGCCCGTGACAGCCTAGCAAAGGCTTGCAGCTCGTGCGACGAGAGGCACCGCGCCCAATACCCGTGGGTGTTGGAGCGTGCGGCGCGCATCGCGAGCCAAGGCAAGGGCGCGAAGGGCGCGACGCCTATCGCACCTGCTGCTGTCACCACTGCATCAAAGGCCCTTGCAGTGAACCCCAAGCCCGCGGCGAAGAAGCCGCCACCTGTGCCCAAGACAGCATCCGGAAAGCCTGCAGCAAAGGTCAAGTTGCAGCCCAAGCTCAAGCTGCAGCCCAAGGGCAGCCCGAGGAAAAGCCGGGTGAGGAAGTGGCCAAAAGCAGCAAAGGCCCACCGGTGTTCCTCAAGCCCAAGCAGAAGCCACCGGGAGCTCCGCAGCCTAAGTGGTCCGGAGTCCGCTTTCCGACTGAGCAGGAGTCCACAGACTCGGAAACCTACACTTCGGGGTCCGAGATCTTTGTGGAAGAACCCGCCGAGGATAGCGAGGCAGACGTATAGTCTGCCGAGGGCCAATGGCAGAATTAGCTGCCATACAAGCGCAACTGCAGCAGATCCTTGAGGAAAATAGAGTGTTGCGCGAGCAGCAACAGAGGCAACAGGAACAAACTGCCCTGTTGACCCGGCTGGCCGAAAGCATGACAGAATTGGCCAGGAATACAAAAAGAGAGGAACCCAGGAAGCTGTTGGTTGACACAAAGGGAATTGGTAAGCCGGAACGGTTCAACAATGAAGAGCATACGTTCCGGAAGTGGGTGCGTTCAGTCACAAACCTTGTTGTCAGCATCTTTGGGAAGGAGTTTGAGAAAGTATTGGATTGGTGCCTCGATCAGGATGGGCCCGACGACATCACTGTGGACGAAGTCGAGGCCGCGCATGGGGAGCCGGACGGGGTGTCCGGTTTACCAGACATAGGGGACCAATTCATGGAGAGACTGAGGACTTGGTGATAGGCTGTTCTAATGGGTTCGAAGCGTGAAAAAGAATCCACCGCCGGTGGGATCCCTTAACCGCCGGACGGAAGAGAAACATACTCCGGGCGATATTGAACCCAGAACGTGTGAAACGGTGGGAGAATGTGAGGGCTGCAATAGAGCAACTCGAAGACCTTTTCAGGCGATCTGAAAATCGCAAGAACGAAGCTGGTGAGAGAGAACGCCTGTCAGAAGACATAAAGGCGACCAGCTTGGAGTTGCTTGTACCCTCAGACATTGAACGCCACCTTTTGTTGAACAAAGGACGCCTCACAACCTACGCACAGATGAAATCAGAAATTGACCTTGTGATTGAATCCTCTTTGGGAAGTAAGGCACCGATTTCACGCCCTGGCGCAGCATCCTCATCGGACATGGGTCCGGCGCCCATGGACGTGGACAGCCTCACAAAGGTCATCAACAGCTTGGTCAAAGGCAAGGGATCCGGTGGAAAGGGCAAAAGTAAGGGCAAAGGTAAAGACAAGGGCAGTGGGGGAAAAGGTTCAACTTCCAAGGACATAGTTTGCTTTAACTGCGGTAAAGCCGGGCATAAAGCTGCGGAGTGCTGGAGTAAAAAGAAGGACGGCTCAAGCAAAGGCTCAAAAGGCAAGAGCAAGGGTAAGCACAAAGGAGCGAACTCACTAGAAGAGGACACAGGTGAGGGAGCCCACGAAGAAGAACAACCCGAAGGAGAGCTCGATGTGGGTATGTTTGAACTGGGTGCACTTACAGCTGGAGATGATCTCCAGGCTATGGAATGGGTCCGCTTCAATTTGGACACCGGTGCAGCCCAGACAGCAATCCCATCAGACTGGGCAGACAAAGTGCCGGTCAAGGAGAGCCAGGATTGTGACTCTGATGCAACAAGATGAGGAAGGCAAGAGCAGACTAGAAGAACACGAGAGGAAGAAGAGATCTAAAAGGGATGAGAAGAACGAGGCCTTTGAGAGGGATGTGACAGCTGATGACGCAGCTGGAGCGCCGGCCGACAAGGCCGTGCAAGCTAGTGAAGAACGCAGGGATGAAGGCATTTTGCCATACCCTGACAACCCAGAGGAGAGGTCAAGCCTGAAACGTGCACCTGCAGAGCCCAGCAGTAGCAGTACGCCTGCAGGGAGTAAGGCTAAAGCCTCACCGGTCAAGCCTCACAAAAGACCGGGAGAACTCAGGATAGCCGCTGGACCAAAGCTGAAGGTCCAGCCACCCCAAGGAGAGAAGAGAGAACGTGAGGTATGAGTTGAAGATCTGAGAGATCAGACTGGAGAGCCAGCTGCTGGAGCAACTGCTCCAGGACAGCCCCCGGACGCGGGAGGACTGTCTTTGAGCAGGGCAAAGGAGGTGGTGAAGAGGATGATCGAAAGGAGAATCAAGCAGGTCTATGAGCAGCAGGAGGTAGAGATCTCATCAGTGGAAATTGAGACTCTAGCCAACATAAGCTGCGAGCTAAGCGCAGTACACATCATGGAAGTGTACAGTCCAGCAAGCAGGTTTGGTTTAAAGCCTGGTTTCGCAATCGACCTTGAGGAGGCTAAACCCGACGGTTCGTTCTGGGACCTTAGCAGGCCAGAAGACGTCGGGGCCGTAAACCAACTGATTGATCGCGACGAACCAGTGGGAGTCCGCCGTGTGATCAATTCAGCCACTTGCAGAACATCAACAAGTACAGGGTCAGCCCGGATCAACGTAAGATCCGTATGGATAAAGCATTGGAGCATTTGCACAACTCATGCAGCTTGTACAGGAAGCAGCTGAAGGCAGGACGCCTGTTCTTGCACGAGGCGCCCTGGAATGCCACTTCGTGGAAAGATCCTGAAGTCAAGGAACTGACGGATCGCCCGGACACATATTTGGTCCGAGGGCCGATGTGCCGATGGGAGATGATGGCGACAGACCGCCGTGGTCTTCAAGGCACAGGCTATGTGAGAAAGGAGACCGGTTGGCTCACTAATAGCCGGGAGCTTGCTGAGCTCTTGGAAGGTGAGTGCAGCAACAAGGCAGGGAAAGATCCCTGGCACAGGCATGTACACCTCATTGGTGGAATTGCCAAACAGGCCGCCAGGTACCCACCTGCGCTGGTCAAAGCTGTCCTTCGGACAGTCAAGGCTTATCTTGTACAGAAGGGTGAGCTTAACTCAATGGAGTCGAATACATCAGGGCCAATCTGTGAGGAACCTTTTGTTCCAACAGACTACATTGAAGAGTACTGGGATGATGTGAACGGAGGACTTCTACCAGCGGAAGAAGTTAAGAAGGCAAGAACTCTTGAGATGGACTACTTCAAGAAGCAAGGAGTTTACCGGAAGGTGCCGGTAACACAATGCTACGCAGAGGGACTTCGTCCAATCACGGTGAGATGGTTAGACACGAACAAAGGAGATCCTGAAAAGCCCAACTACCGGTCTAGATTGGTTGCCCGTGAAATTAAGGCAGCTAAGAAGCCGGAAGAACAGTTGCCGCAGAACCTCCTGTTCTCGTCAACGCCACCGTTGGAGGCGATGCGCTACTTGCTGAGTGCCTGGGCAACAGACCGGGTGTCAGCCAAGGGCCGGACACTGAAGCTCGGTCTCTGGGACATAGGTCGAGCGCACTTTTATGGAGTTCCGAAGCGACGCATATATGTGGAGCTTCCACCAGAAGACGCAGAAGAAGGCTTCTGTGGTTTGTTGGAAAAGAGCATGTATGGTTGCCAAGACGCGCCAGCAATATGGCAAGACCATTATACACAACTTCTTTTGAAGCATGGGTTTCAGCGTGGCCGCAGCAATGGTTCCTGCTTTTACAAGCCGAGCACAGGGTGCAGAGTGTTGGTTCATGGAGACGACTTTCTTGCACTTGGTGATCAAGAAGCTTTGGATGAGCTGGATTCCACTCTAAAGAGTGCCTACGAGCTGAAACGGCTCGGAATGCTGGGAGACGAGGATGGAGATGATCGCGCAGCACACTTCTTGAATCATCTGATCCGCATTGGCATGCACGAAGGCCAATCAGCGGTTTTCTTGGAACCTGACCGCCGTCATGTGGAACTTTTGGTGAGACATCTGGGAATGGTGAACGCGAAGGGCACTGAGACCCCAGACATCAAGAAGTCCGTGGAGCAGCAGCTTTTGGAGGCTAACAGCCCTTCGTTGGCACGAGAGGCAGCTTCACTTTATAGGTCGAGTGTGATGCGAGCAGCGTACCTCAGTCAAGATCGACCTGATCTTTCTCACGCTGTGAAGAATCTTTCGAGGGAGATGGTCACCCCGACCGAGGCGGCGATGCAAGACCTGAAGAGACTGTGCAGATATTTGCTGAAGTATCCTGATCTTTGTCAAGTGTTTGGGAGACAAGCCAAACCCTCGAAGGTCCGTATACAGGTTGATTCTGATCATGCAGGAGACGCTGTCACTAGGCGAAGCACTACAGGCATGGTTGCCCTCTATGGTAGCCATACGCTGAAGCACTCAAGCAACGTCCAGTCGACGATAGCATTGAGCACTGGAGAGAGTGAGTACTACGCTTTAGTGAAGGGCGGTTCTGTAGGATTAGGACTTCAATCCCTCCTTCAAGACTTTGGAGTTGAGGTAGAGGTTCTAGTAGAGTCTGATGCAACCGCAGCCAAAGGCACGGTTAATAGAGTAGGTCTGGGAAAGGCACGCCACATTCAAACTCGTTATCTGTGGTTACAGGAACGTGTGGCGATGAATCATTTAAAGGTAGAACACATACCAGGCAAGCGTAACAGGTCTGATGTGCTGACAAAGTCAGTACCCGGAGTCCAAATGAAGGACACAATGAATCGTTCCGGATTTGTGTTTCTTCAAAGAAAGAGTAAAGGCCAGATGAGTCTTCTAGATTCGTAAGGCCCTGGTCCAGGCTCCGACTACCGCACTGTATAGTTGCTGTGCGGGTGATCAAGCACCCTCCAGCAAGGAGGAGTGTTGAAATATGTAGCCCAATACGCATGTTGTCATATACAGTTGTACAGTTGAGACTACTGACATGTTTTGGCTCAAGAAAATAAGGCGCTCCGAAGCGGCCAAGTAGATTTTCAACCCCTAAATTAAAAAAATATATATACACTCCCAGCAATTAAGATGGGTTGTGCACAGACCCCTGTAAAAAGACGACTTTCCTATTGGAAATGGAGTTTCTGCACTTCCATACTGTGGATGGCGACCCCCGAAATCCTGCACCACCTGAAAACCATGGTTGAAACCATTGTTGGTGTGTATTTACAGGGGAATCAAATCATTCCAGGCTTTCTGAACGCTGGTGCGAAACGGATTTCTATTTCAACCATCCACAGTAGTTCAAAAGAACGAGCCACTTTTAGCTGAGGACCAACGCCACCGTCTGCCTCAAGTGCGCCATGAACCAGGTCGATGGGATTCGGGGGATGCTATACCTTTTTGACCTTTTTTGGGGGTTCCCCTACTGAATAGACTACAGAGGAAAAAAAGGGTACCCTTGTTCTAACCTCTCTACTGGAGACAGAAAAAAAGGGTACACCCACAGACGGCTCAAAATGAAACAGCTGGGGGTACGCAGGTGTTGGCCCATGTTTCCACTTCCCAGGGCAATTTATTTTGGGGTACCGGTTTTTGAGCCACAGCCATATGATCGATGCGCCAAGTCGAAGGGTTGAAGCGAAAGAGTGGAAGGCTTGGAATGGAACGAGCTGGGGATAGAATTTTGGTTTAGGCAATTGGGCAGTTGTTTCTTGAAGGATATTTCAAGGATTCTGGTTGAGGCAGTGAGAAGCAGTACTGCTTTGGGGTCGCAGGTTTCGTCATCGAGAAAGTGCTTGACTGGGCCTGAGAAACAGGTGGTCACAGCCTGCAGGATGAGGTCACAGCCTCCAGGGCATTGGCTTGGATGGGGTCACAGCCTCCCCTTCACTGTTCTTGGCATGATTTTTTGTTTTTTTGGTTCTGTTCATTTTTACTGGGGGTCTGCAAAAAAAAGACAGTTTTTCGCTACCATACCAAGAGTAGAGATGTCCAGGTTGAAAGGGCTTTCTAGGGATGGCTTGCTGAAAGTCGCTTGGCCGCGCTCGCTCGAATCGACGGCATGTGTTAGGAGACGCCGGAGACCGGCAGCGACAGCGGGGACTCGTGCCGCTGCCCGGCAGGCGGGGAAGCGGCTTCCCAAATGGGCGGCTCAGTCTACTTGTTTTGTTGTCAGCTGGTCACCCCTTGGCTTTACAGGGAAAAAAGCCCACCGGAAAAAGAACAAGAAACGAGGTCGGGTTTCTGAAGCCTTGAAGCAAACAACAAGAAGATATATGCCGGCGCGTGGTTTCTCGTTGTGGAGTGGGAGTCTCTTGTTTTGTCACGTTCAGAGACATAAGAACCACACGCACACAGCTTTGAAAGGATACCACCATGACATCGAGCTCTCTTGTTTGTTTCGCCTTTTTTTGTCCGCTCTCGCTCCCCTTCTGTTGCGCAGGATTGCTTTGATACCCTCCAGATGCCCGTCGAGCACCCTCCCGGCCCGTTTCTCGTCCGATTCCTTCTCGGATTGCTTGCATTGTCCCTTGTTTTTGCGTGCTTCTGGGACAACTCGGTCATACTGGTACACGTCTTGAGTGTCTTTTCTTGGGCTGAGTTTTTCGCGCCACCCACCAAAAAGCCCAACAACCCCCCCCCCCCCCACCCCGTCCTTGTCGTCTTTGGTCAGACCTCGCAGACGGCGCGCGTGGCGAGTTTTCTTCGCCAGGCACCTTCCTCTGCGGGGACTTCTGCGAGGTCTGCCCCGAGGGCCTCGTCTGCCCGGCGGGGCGACTGCCGCCGCAGCAGCAGTGGGGGACCTGGGCCCCAGAGATCGACGTGATAGAGCCGTCCGGTGGCACCTGCCCGATCAAGCGCCTGATCTGCCAAACCCAGCCGCCAGGCAGAAATGCGGTTTGAGCGGATGGGGGCGGTTTGGGTGTGTGTGACTCAGATTTTGTTCGGCGGATTTGGAGCCCCCAAAGACGGTGGGGTTCATGTTGGTGTCGCCCTAAAGCCACAAAGAAAGGGTACCCTCAAGGCCCTCAAGCAGAAAAAGCAGCAACAACACATGCCCATTGGTGTGTTGTGCGGGTCATGTTGTCATTTTTGTTTTTGGATTTGTTGTCTTTGAAAGGTGCTGTTTTGAGTGCAGGGGAGGAGTAACACCGTGTTCGCCGGGTCTCATCCTGGTAGAGAAAAGCCCAAGCCAGCGCTGCGAAGCTCCTGCTTGAGGCAAAACTCAGGTCACCCCGGATTGGAGCCCGGTGGTGTGGATTCGGATTGAAGCGCTTGTGGAGGCTAAGTTGGGTGCTCCCCCTCCTGAACCACCAAACAGGGAAGCTGTCAGCAAGCAGTTTGCCATGCCTGAAGGCCTGAAGGCCTGAAGGCAGCTATGCAGCACAAGAGGACCTGACCTCTGCATTTCCTAAGGAGATTCTCTGAAGCTGCGCGCAAAAGCGCGCGCAGAATGAAAGAGACATGTTTGAGATCGAAGCAGGGGGAATGATGTGGTACTTGGCGTGTGCTCGCAGAAGAAGCAGCACATCTCGCGATTTCTGCTGCAGCTTTTGTTGTTTGGGTATGGGTCAAAATTCAACCACCAGGAATTGGACCGCTGGTTTTAGTCTTTGTTTCCATTTGCCAGGGTTGGTTTTAGTCTTTGTTTCCATTTGCCAGGGTTTCATTTTGGGTGCCTATTTTTCACCCACATCTGTTTTTCTCTCAATCCGCTGCAAACCGGCCACAACCGGCGTTGGGAATCCGCTGCAACCCGGCGTTGGGAATGAATGTAGGGATTCCCTCAAAGGGAACCATGGGGGATTGTTTTTTTTTTTTGGGGGGGGGGCATTCCATTTCTCATTCTGAGCAACAGCAAGAAAAGTAGGCTGGAGGCAGGAAAGCAGTCTTCAGACATTCCCAACTCTATTCCTGCCTGACCCCCGAGATCTGGCTCGTGGTTCGCCATGTCCAAAGTGGAACAACGTCACTCACGCCATTTGGGACCTCCAAACATGGCAGTTTTCATGGAAACCCAGCAACTCTTGCCGGGGATGTCCAGTGACCCCAGTTGCTTGAGCTGAGAGTTTTCATTTGAACGTGACCGTTTTAACCCCCCAAATGAAGGCAATGCCTTTTTCAGGGCGATTCATCTACCTTCCGTTTGGGTAAGGATATTTTGTATTTCTTCAAAGGGAATCGAATTCACTGGACATCTCGTCTCAGTTTCTCTCGATCAAGCAAGCCCCTCCATGGGCATCAAACCAAGAAATCTGCGAATCCCAATGACCAGCCTCTAGCCAGCGTTCTTCCTTTCGGCGGGCTGGAACCCGGCAGTTTGCTCTACGCATACCTTGGACTAAAGCAGATCTGGTGTCTGTTTTTTTGTTGCCTTCGTTTTTGGGTTCCAAGAAACCTACAAGGAACCAGGAGGGAATAAAAAGGACGAAACAAAAGCACATCCCCTGGTCCGCTTCCCGCCCCGAAAAGAAAGGAAGAGCCGCCGCGTTTATTTCGAAAACCCGCCGCGTTTCGGGGTTCGGAGCGCCGTCGCCTCGGGCACATCGGGCACGCGAGCCGAGGGTGCACTGCCCGGAGGGGGAGATGGGGCGCTGCGCGATTGGGCGCCAGGGCAAGGCTTGCGGCACCTGCCTCCAGGGCTTCTATCCCCTGCAGGCGGTGCTGGGGGGGAATTGGGGGCAGGGGGGGGGCAGGGGGGGCAGGGGGGGCAGGGGGGGCAGGGGGGGCAGGGGGGGCAGGGGGGGCAGGGGGGGCAGCAGGGGCAGGGGTGGCAGGGGGGGGCAGGGGGCAGGAGGGGGGGCAGGGGGGGCAGGAGGGGGCAGGAGGGGCAGGAGGGGCAGGGGGGGAATTGCGGGGGGGGGGGGGGGTGGCAGGGGGAATTGGGGGGTGGGAAGGGGGGGTGTACGGAAAGGGGTGGAGGGGAGGTTGTGAAGGGACCGGACCCGGGATCGACCGGGGTTTCTGCGGCGAAGTCGCTTGCCCTCACGGCCCCCGGAAAGAAAGGGACAAAGCTCAATCTGCTTACGTCTTAGTTTTTCTCTGTTGGCTTTGAAGGGAGCTACTGGAAATATGTTTTCTTGTTCCAAAACTCTCAAGCAAATGGAAGAAACACATGGGTCAAACAGTGGCTGGAGAAATAGAGCCCCCGTCCTTCAGGGATGGGTTTCCTGACTGGAATCCATGGGGGGTCGCTCACAAAAAAACCAATGAATGACAAACTTGGGTTGCTTCTCAAAATCATTGGGGTTCTCCACCAATCCAATGTCAGCAATGAATATACTTGTATATTTTGTGCTTCTACACACTTACAAATACTTGCGCAACAATTAAACCACAAACACACAACACAAAATATGGTCAGCCCCCCCCTGGATCTACCTTTTCTCTAGGAGTAGTTTCACAAAGTTCTTGTGCAGTACCCATCTTTAATGCCAGGCTTTTTATGAGTTCTAGACCGATGTTTCGCATGCATCATGAAAAACAAAGTATGTGCAAAACCCCCTGACCGGATTCTGGTCTCTGGCATTTCACGAGGAGATGGGCATGAAAGACCGTGTTTCCTTATGCTCTACGCCTGCAAAGCGTGAACCGAACGCCTTTTTTTTCTCCGCGTTGTTCGGACATGTGCAATAACCAAACCATCAGCAAGCTCGATTTGACCCTTTCAAATGCAAGCAAGTGGATTCAAAAAGGAAGCCACTTTTTTCAAACAAAGCCAGTAACAGACCGAGGGACACCAAAAAAGAAACAACACCTTTAGAAAACAAACAGGCAATCTCTGGGGGCGAATCTTTGGTTTCAGCCCCAAACTTTAGTCTTCGGGTTTCTCGAGCCAGGTGTCCAGAAACCCAAAAACCTGGAGTGCTTGGGGTTTTTGAGGGATAATGTCCAAAAAGCAAGGACGCTGAGGGATATCCCAAGAAAAATAACAACACCGCGAGAAAACCTAAAAATGCCCCCCAGAGACGTTTTTTTTGGTTTGTTTCCCGAGGTTTTTTCGTTTTCCCGAAGTGGTTTTCATGTTTTGCATTTCCCTTCCCAAAAAGTCGTGTTTTGTGTTTTTTTCTCCTTCTGACGCAACAAATTTGGTTTGTGAGCAGTGACAATGAAGTTGTTGTTCTTGTTGAGATTTGCTCCTTATGCTCGGAGGGGTCCCTAATTTTGAGCGACACCCATTCTTTTATGCTGTACACAACTTGGAGATGCATATTCTTATATATATACACATACATTATACATTACCCGAAGCATAGATAGATAGATACAGATAGATGGATAGATAGAGATAGATAGATACAGATAGATAGATAGATAGTTTACATAACTCGAACTTGGGGCCCGAGAAGAAACGCGAATTTGAAGGGCTGAGTTGGGCAGGGCTTGAGGGGCTGGGATGTGCGAAACGCGGATGCCCCTGGGATGTACGAGGCGCATATTTAGCTCGACAAAAGTGGTGCGTACATATGTATACAAATCACTCGAAGACACATATATATATATATATATATAGACACACCCATACATACATGTTTTACAACTTTGTATCATGCACAACTCAAACAAATATGTGTATATATATATATATATGATACATAGCTCAAAGATGTGTATATACACACATATACACATATATACACATACATTCAGACATTAATGCATGCATACATACATACATACATACATACATACATACATACATACATACATACATACATACATACCTACCTACCTACCTACCTACCTACCTACCTACCTACCTACCTACCTACCTACATACCTACATACCTACATACCTACATACCTACATACCTACATACCTACATACCTACATACCTACATACCTACATACATACCTACATACCTACATACATACATACATACATACATACATACATACATACATACATACACGTGTTTACATAGCTCGAGGGACGTCTTGATAAAAATAAACATAAAGAAAATATTGGCCGCGGCTCAGCTGTCAGGAGGGCACCTGTGCGGAGTGCTCCCCCACGGACTCCATGCTACTGGGGCTCCTGCTGGGTGTGTGCCTCCTCATCCTCGTGGTGGCGCCTCGCTCACAGAGAGTTCTCTCGGGGCGCGCGCTCCTTCGGCTTTCGGCGTTTTCGTTCGGCTGGCGTTCGGAACGCGGGGAGGGGTTGGACCGGTTTTGTGGGGTGGTGCCGCTTTTCGCTTCTTCTTTTTTTGTGGGAGAACATGCGGCGAAATGTGGCAGAAGGTGAAAAACTTTTGGTTCTCCAAGCGCCGGAAAGAAGGCCGCCTCCGAAAACCCATCTTGGCTGTGAGTGCGTCCTTTTTTTTTGAGGGTTCATCCCTTTTTTGTGGTTTTAGGAGAGGGATGGACCAACTGGATGGCATGCCCAGGCCGTGTTTCCCATGGCGCAGTCTGACATGAACCACCAGAGCCTGAATGTGATCACAGTGGCGGCCATTGGCAGCCAGATGGACGCTCGGAATCGATCGCACGTGTCGATTGGGATGTGGTTGTTTTTTCCAAGAAAGGGACCCTCTTCAACAAAAACAAACAACCACAAGAAAGACCCCCATTTTCTTCAAGAAAGGGACAACCACAAGAACCCAAGGAAAATGGTGGGTTTCTTCAAGAAAGGCGCCATTTTCGGGATCCCCGTATTATTAGTTCACCTCCCCACCCCCCCGAGTTGCGAACCAACTTGCAGCGGTCATTGATCCTTCCACAAGGATGTTATGTCACCATCATGAAGCCGCTTCGCCCGAACTAACGTCTTTGCAGCCCTTGCTTTGCTGGATCTAACTTGATGAAAGCAGGCCTTTTGCAGTCGTGAGTTCTAGCCTCAACGAGCACAGATAATGTTGGACATGCAGGTCCCTTTGAAGGGGACACTAGTCATTCTCCAAAGGATATTCTTGTCTCCAAGAGGGCCCCCCTGAACAGCAGATGGGGTTGGGCAAATTTGGCTTAAACCACCAGAGCACGCTTTGAACAAACGGTGGAAAACGGGGCTTAAACGAGGAGGTCACTCCACCTAATCTGAGTCTGGTTCGGATCCCGACCCCCAAAAACACCCCTGGTAGTACGACTGTAAAAAGAACTCACTGAGGTCCAGGCACAAAAAGAAAAGAACATCTGGGTATGTTGAAGCCGCGATTTGGAGGGGGGGCTCTTAGACAGGGTTACCTCCTCATCCCTTTTTGGAACCACCAAAAGCGGCAGTTTGAAGGGCAATTACCAGTGAATTGCAACTTCTGAAGGGAAATCCAGTGACCCCTGTTAGAGTGTGCATTTTTTGGGGGGGCACCCTTCTAGACTGGTGAGGGCCCAACTGTTTGTCATAATCAGGTACGGCCGCTTCTGCGCGCAAGCTCCTGAAGAAATCGCCGGCGATTGGGTTTTTAAACCTGACTCCCGGGTTTGGTGAATCTGGAGCCTCACCGCCTCACCTCTACCCACTGTCACTGAGATCAGTATCGTCCACTCAGATCTCTTTGATTCATAGGATCCAAACCCCTCGGCCCCTTGCCCCCCTCCCCATACCCACGCCCCCACCCCCTTTTTGCTGGACCCACTTCCCACTCCTGCCTTGTCAAAAAAGAGATGGAACCTGTCAGATGGGCGGCGTCCGAATTTCCCTTGTGATCCAAATGGCCAACTCCCCCTCAAATCATAATCATCAGGTACCCCTGAATTGGTGGTTTGGATTGTTGGTTTGGATTCACACCTCCAGACCACCGGGCTGCAAATCACCGATTCGGCTCCAAACCACCGATTCGGCTCCAAACCACCAATGACAGGGAAGCTGAAAAAAGACTGAAGCCGGGACTCAGGCGAGCGAGCCTTGGGTGTTCGCTTCGCTTCGCTTCCGCAAGTTTTTAATCAATCTTTTCCACTAAGTCCCCCATCCCACCTTGAGGGATTTTTCCATGCTAGCCCTCTCGAACCTCCGATTTCATCAACTCCCAGCGGCCCGACGGCCCAATCGCCTTGAGGTCATGGCGGTGCAGGCGCTGGGCTCCCTGCGCCAGCTGCCGGTGATTTGGCCGCCGCTCGGCGAGGGTTCGTCAAGGTCCCAGCACGAGAGCGGAGCTGGCCGAACATCTTGGGGGGTTCTTGGGTGGCGATTTTTTTTGGATCTGGAGCCACAAAATGGTTTCGGCTCTTCTCTTGGATTTCCTTTTTTTTTGTTCTTCGCCAAGCGACAGGATAGTCGCAAAAAAGAGAGACCCAGATGGTGTCCAAAGTATCCCCCTGAAAGCTCATACCCAGGTGATTTGACCTGAGGTTGACGAACATGGGAGATCGAAGATGTGGATGTTTGGTTTCCCTGGGGTTGGGCAAGGGAAGTTGCGGGCCTTGGTCCCGAAAAAAAAAGGTACATTTGGACCCAGGATTTACCTTCCCGAAGAAAATATTTCAATAACAGCGACAACAACACTAACAACGAGTGAGAACTTGGGGCGAATACCACGAGAAAGAATTTCGGGTACCACGATAAAGGCCACTTCTCCCTGGAATCATCCAAACACGCGCGCTTTAAGCCTTTGTTCGCAACTCCTCTACAAGTTAAGGGAAGGAACCCAAAAAGGGGCTCAAGTCTTTAACAGGGAGATTCCTCTGAAAATTTTGTGTTTTGTTTGGGTTCGACGTTAATTTGTAGAGAAGGACCAACTGATTTCGAGGATTGAACTGTGGGATGTTCTACCTGAGCGCTGATACTTGACCCGGGTCACGATTTTCCGTTTTCTCGAACATATTTTCCAGTACTCCCTTTGAAGGCGGTCAAAATAATTTTTCAGGGTGATTTTTTCTCAATAAGTTCCTGCTTACCAAAAAGGTGGTTGTTGCCATGATGTTTGCTCAATCCTTCTCCTTGCCGCTGATGTCTGGTCAGGCTACCCTTGATTGGTTTGGATTGGTGGTTTGGGCATTTGAACCGCTGGTTCTTTTGTCGAGGGCAGATGGGAAACCCTCCACCAAACCACGATTCGGCTCCAAACCACCAATGATAGGGAAGCTGAAAAAAGATTGAAGGACAAGGGCCTGAGTTAGCCTCCGTAGTTAGTTGTTGGTAACTTATCTTATCCACTTCTAAGTCCCCCTCAACCTTGGGGATTTGTCCCGTGGCTACCCACTTGCTAACTTCTCGAATGTCCAGTTCCATCAAATCCCTCAAGTTTGATTACAGGAACATCTTCAGGAAGTCGCATCCGAAAAAGCCGAAACTAGCAGCCGATTTCGGCGTTTTGAAGTGACTTCCGGAAGACTTTGCCTGTGATCAAACCCTTCTTCAGGCTGTTTTCCCTGTAAAACACCCTGGCACTATGGGCAGCCAGCCCGGATCCAACCTGGCCATAGGTTCAAACACCGAAGTAAGCACCACGTTTTCCCAGAAACGTCCTGCCACCCACCCGCCTTCGCATCGACTCGCCTCACCCGAAGCGACCCAAGCGGCGAACGGCGAGCGGCGAGCGGCTCGCGCCGAGGCAGCCCTTCGACCAGGTCCTGGAACTCGTGCAGCTCTTCACCCTGGACCTCGCGCCTTGGCAAAGAAGACTGTGGATGGTTGAAATCGAAATCCATTTCGCACCACCTAAGGAACCCTGGAATGATGGTTCCCCTGTAAGTTCCAATAAAAAATGGTCCATGGTTTCAACCATGCTTTGTCAGGTGATGCAGGATTTTGGTACCCCAGCTCGGCTAGCGGTTGGGAGGCTTCAACCCTAGTGCCGGTTTTGGTACCCGTGTTTCTACTGACCGATCGGGCAACCCATTTTGGAATTCCTGTTTTTTGAGCCACAGCCAACTAGGTCCCCCAGCGCCCGGTGCCAACTGTCTCACCCAACCTTTTTTTGATTAAAAGGTTTCAACCCTGCTAAAATCGACAACAGAAAAAATGGGTACCCTTATTCTAACCTCTCTGCTGGAGGAGGAAAATCCTGGGGCGTTTGTGGCGTGCTTTGGAGGACTCAACTCCATGTGGGATGTCTTTGGTTGGACGTCCCCCTCCCTTCCCCCCCCAAAAAAAAGGACGTTATTTTTCTTTTTTTGTTTTGGTTTTCCTTGGCGCCTTTGAAAGACATGGATTCATGTGGGGGTGTCTTTGTTTGCTGGGTGTTTTTTTTTTTCTTCCCCCTTTTTGGTTTCCCTTGAAGACCCACAAAAACACGGGGTACCAACTCCAAAGGGTCCGGAGTTCCGGTTTGGGTCCGGAGGATTCTCCAGGTGGGTTGCTGGGGAGGAATTCTATGTGCGTGTACCAAATGTTCACATGTTTTCTGTTGAAGGAAAGCCAGCTGTCGAAGAGCAACTGGGTTTGTGTTAATATAAGAGGCCCACTACAGTGGCTTCGGTTTTCATTTTGGTTTGCCGGTTCCCCAAACATGGTTAGTTGCCTTTTGGTTTCCTTTTATAAGCACCCCTTCAAAAGGGTACCGCCAAAAAAGACACTCACATATGGCGTTGGATTCGAGTGGCATGGACCTATTCCCAATTATCAAAGGGTCCTCAAAATGTTTGATTTTTATTGGACATTCCCGCAATGTTCACCCAAGGGACCATGGACTTGGCCAAAGCGAAGCAAGCCGCCTTGCACACAACGAAGCTTAGTTCTAGCTGCCGTCCCCTCTACCCCCCGCGCAAAAAATCACACAAACTAGATTCGTGAGCACTAGAAGGAGCTTCCTGCAGACTATCCCCTAAAATATAAACAGGCAAGGGCTTTGCAGCTAGCCTCACCTCGCAGGTAAAAGTAGTCGCCTCACCCTCCGGAATTTGGATGCGCAGATCTGCGATTTTCTGCATCCGAGGACGTGCTCCGGGTCTCCTGCGTCTACTACACTGATGGCCCCATCATGAAATTCGTAGGCATGGGGTATTTTTCGAGCGAAGCGAGGGGTGCGAATCTGCTCAGAGGCATGAAGCTACCGAATCTCAGGGCCGAAGACCCTGGGATTTGGGGGGCTAAGGCCTTTGGGGGACGGGAGGCATGACGCTCATGTTGCCCCGGCTTTTTTCAGACCAAAAGGTTGATTCCTCTGGGGGTGTTCCCCTCCAAAAGTGGTAAATCCTCACTAAAACCGGGGACACCCCCACATGAATAAACCGTGGTGTACTAATCCGGGGTCAACATTACAGCCAAATCTGCATGGCTCTCCAGGGCCGAAGACCTTGGAACTTTCTATCAGATTTCTAGGGATGATGATTGCTTTCTTTGTGAAAAGCTGGCGTTTTCCCAGGCTGGTTCTTCCAAACAGATTCTTGCAATCGGGTTTTCTATCTGAACATCAGCAAACAAAACAAATGTGCCTTTTTCCCCATGGCCGGTAAAGAGCTGGGTGTTAGAGCTAGAGGTGAATCAACTCAGCTTCGGCTCGATGGTTAATCTCTTTTCCGTCTTATCGCAATACACAGAGGGCATGCTTTGTTGATGTGGGTGTTTCTTTTTCGAGGGCACCTTTTTTGTGGTTTCAAAGGACAACCAAAAGGAAAAACACCCCTAAAAAACAAGACACACCCATGTTGAGAGCCAGTAAAATGACCAAGCACCTTAAATGGACAGCGCAAAGGGTACCGACTCTCCGCGTGTCCATGTTGTTGTTGTTTTTCTTCGCATGGATTAAAGAAGCTTCGGCTTCTCTTTAACGGGCACTGTGGACATGGATATGTCGCTCGTTTTTTTTTCTTCTTCCTTTTTTGTTTTGTTTTTGTTCTCCGCATGGATCTTAAAGAGGCTTCGGCTTCTCTTTAGAGAAGCCGGCTTCTCTTTAAAGGGCGCCAGGGGAAATGGGAAAATGGACGATGGATTTTTGCTGTTCGCGAGGGCGGCTGCTGGTGCTGCCGGTGGGCTTCCTGCTGCTGCTGGCGGCCTGGGTGCTGTGCTGGGTGCGGGGCTACAAGGTGCCCTTCGACGCTTGGCGCAGCGATGGCGAGAGCGTGGGAGGGGGGTTGGGCTGGAGGGGGCGAGGGGGGGAGAGGCGGGGGGGCGGGGATGGGGGGGGAGAGTGAGGGGAGAGGGGAGAGGGTGGGGGGAGAGGGGAGGGGGGAGGTCGGTTTTCTAGACATTTGTTCTAGGGATTGTGGGATTTTGTAGGGATTCTTTGCTCTGAAATTCCGAGCCATTTCCCTTTGGAGTGGAGCCCAGGAAAAAGATGCAACTTTTCAGAGGGAAGTCCTAGGCCAAGCAAGAGGCATCAGGCTGAACCTCATGGGTTTCGAAAGGGAAACTGGGGGTAATTTTCCTTTGACCTACCATTCTAGAGTTGACTCCCCATCCAAATCCAGGAGAATGGTCTTCCAGGACCGCTCTGTCAGATTCCATGTCAATTGGTGGGAGGTTTGGTACTCTTCTAGGAGTTGACTCCCCCCATTCTTTTCAGCCACTGTTTTCAACAACCAGCCGTTTTCTCCCGGGTTTCCGGAGTTTTCTACAAAGAAGGATCCCGGGAAAGAATGGACATGGAAGGCACCCTAGATGTGCACCATTGGCTGCTTGAAGGGGCAGGGCATGTCTGGTCAGTGGTTGGTAACCCTGCTTATAACTTACCTAGCTACAGCCAAGACAAGTAAGTTGCCAATTGAAAGTGCGTTCTTTTTTTTGTGGGGTGATGTTTCAATGGGAAACATAAGAATTCGTGGGGAGTAGGGGGAGTAGGAGTATGGGAGTCAGTGAAGGCGCACTTAGTAAGTGGTTGGTATACCTGGTTCGTGTTGACTCTGCGCTTCCAAGTAGGGCAGTTCCGGAGTGTGCCCACGACCATTCTTAAAAAAAAAAAAAAAAACAACAACAACAACATGACACCTCCAACATGATTCACACCTATTTGTGCATGTTCCCCCACCAAGCATATCGATTTTTCGGAAGGGGGGGGGGGGTGGCACTGCGATCCTCGAATGCCAATCAGAAATTCGAGGCGCTGGAGTTTTGCAACGTGTCTAGCTCGGAGTCGCTGTTCAATTTGGACATTAAATTGGACATGGGTCAAAGTTGAACTATCTGGGGCCCGCACGTATTAGCCGATTAGTGTTTCGTTTTGGATCCCTATTTTAACGCCTCCGGCTCAGGCCGCCGACATTACAGGCCTGCTTTCTTATTTGCGTCCCTTTGGAATTGTCCCCTTGCCCCCTTCCCCTCTGAGATTTTTGCCCCCCTTTCTTTGTTGAGATCCATTCCCCCTTTCCGCCCTAAGGCCTTGTCTTCCTCAGATTTTTCCCTTTTCCTCCCTAAGATCCTTTGCCCCCTTTCCCTGTTGAGATCCTTTCCCCCCTTTCCCCCCTAAGGCCTTTTCCCCCCTGAGATCTTCTCCCTTTTCCTCCCTTTCCCCCACTTCCCCCCCTACGGCCTTTTCCTCCCTGGGATCTTTTTCCTTTCCTCCCTGAGATCTTTCCCCCCCTTTCCCTGTTGAGATCCTTTCCCCCCTTTCCCCCCTACGGCCTTTCCCCCCGCTGAGATCCTCTCCCTATTCCTCCTTAAGATCCTTTGCCCCCTTTCCCTGTTGAGATCCTTTCCCCCCTTCCCTTTAAGGCCTTTCCAGATCTTCTCCCTTTTCCTTCCTAAGATTGTTTCCCCCCTTTCCCTGTTGAGATCCTTCCCACCCTTTCCCTACTCAGGCCTTTCCCCCCCTGAGAGCTTCTCCCTTTTCCTTCCTTAGATCTTTCCCCCCTTTCCCTGTTGGCCTTTTTTCTTCCAGATCTTCTCCCTTTCCTCCCTAAGATCTTTTCCACCCCTTTCCCTGTTGAGATCATTTCTCCCCTTTTTTCCCTAAGGCCTTTGTCCCGAGATCTTCTCCCTTTCCTCCCTAAGATCTTTCCCCCCCGCCCCTTTCCCTGCTGAGATCCTTTTCCCCCTTTCCCCCCTAAGGCCTTCCCCCCCCCTGAGAGCTTCTCCCTTTTCCTTCCTAAGATCTTTTCCCCCCTTTCCCTGTTGGGCTTTCCCCCCTAAGTCCTGTTCTCCCAGATCTTCTGCCTTTCCTCCCTAAGATCTTCCCCCCCCCTTTCCTCCCTAACATCTTTCCACCCTTTCCCTGTTGAGATCTTCCCTGAGAACTTCTCCCCCCTTTCCCTGTTGAGATCATTTCTCCCCTTTCCCCCCTAAGGCCTTTCCCACCCCTGAGAGCTTCTCCCTTTTCCTTCGTAAGATCTTTTCCCCCCTTTCCCTGTTGGGCTTTCCCCCCTAAGTCCTGTTCTCCCAGATCTTCTGCCTTTCCTCCCTAAGATCTTCCCCCCCTTTCCTCCCTAACATCTTTCCCACCCTTTCCCTGTTGAGATCCTTTCCCCCCTTTCCCTCCCAAGGCCTTTCCCCACTTGAGAGCTTCTCCCTTTTCCTTCCTAAGATCTTTTCCCCCCTTCCCCTGTTGGGCTTTCCCCCCTAAGTCCTTTTCTCCCAGATCTTCTCCCTTTCCTCCCTAAGACCTTCCCCCCCCTTTCCTTCCTAAGATTGTTTCCCCCCTTTCCCTGTTCAGATCCTTCCCACCCTTTCCCGCCTAAGGCCTTTCCCCCCCCTGAGAGCTTCTCCCTTTTCCTTCCTTAGATCTTTCCCCCAGATCTTCTCCCTTTCCTCCCTAAGATCTTTTCCACCCCTTTCCCTGTTGAGATCATTTCTCCCCTTTCCCCCCTTAGGCCTTTGCCCCCAGATCTTCTCCCTTTCCTCCCTAAGATCTTTCCCCCCCTTTCCCTGCTCAGATCCTTTCCCCCCTTTCCCCCCTAAGGCCTTTCCCCCCCTGAGATCTTCTCCCTTTTCCTCCCTAAGATCTTTTGCCATTTTCCCTGTTGAGATCCATTCCCCCTTTCCCCCCTAAGGCCCTTTCTCCCTCTGAGTTTTTCCCTTTTCCTCCCTACGATGTTTTTCCCCCTCTCCCTGTTGAGATCCTTTCCCTCCTTTCCCCCCTAAGGCCTTTTTTCCCCCCGCGATCTTCCCCCTTTTCCTTCCTAAGATCTTTTCCCCCCTTTCCTTGTTGAGATCCTTTCCCGTCCTTTCCCCCCTAAGGCGTTTTCCCCCCCAAGATCTTCTCCCTTTTCCTCCCTAAGATCCTTTGCCCCCTTTCCCTGTTGAGATCCTTTTCCCCCTTTCCCCCCTAAGGCCTTTCCCCCCCTGAGATCTTCTCCCTTGTCCTCCCCAAGATCTTTTCCCTTGGTTGAGATCCTTTCCCCCTTTCCCCCCGAGATCTTCTCCCTTTTCCTCCCTAGGATCTTCTCCCTTTCCCTGTTGAGATCCTTTCCCCCTTTCCCCCCTAAGGCCTTTTCCCTGCCTGGGACCTTCTCCCTTTCCTCACTGAGATCTTTCCCCCCCTTTCCCTGTTGAGATCCGTTCCCCTCTTTCCCCCCTACGGCCTTTCCCCCCGCTGAGATCTTCTTCCTATTCCTCCGTAAGATCCTTTGCCCCCTTTCCCTGTTGAGATCCTTTCCCCCCTTCCCTTTACGGCCTTTCCAGGTCTTCCCCCTTTTCCTTCCTAAGATTGTTTCCCCCCTTTCCCTGTTGAGATCCTTCCCACCCTTTCCCCCCTCAGGCCTTTCCCCCCCCTGAGAGCTTCTCCCTTTTCCTTCCTTAGATCTTTCCCCCCTTTCCCTGTTGGCCTTTTTTCCCCCTTTTCCCTGTTGGCCTTTTTTTCCCCAGATCTTCTCCCTTTCCTCCCTAAGATCTTTTCCACCCCTTTCCCTGTTGAGATCATTTTCTCCCCTTTCCCCCCTAAGGCCTTTGTCCCCATCCGTTGCCTCCTTTCCTCCCTAAGGATCTTTCCCCCCCCCCCCCCCCCCCCCACCCCCCCCCCCCCCCCCCCTCCCCCCCACCCCCCCCCCCCCCCTCCCATTTCCCTGTGAGATCCTCCCCACTGAGATCTTCTCCCTTTTTCCTTCCTAACCTTTTCCTTCCTTAGATCTTTCCCCCAGATCTTCTCCCCCCTTTCCCTGTTGGGCTTCCCCCCTGAGTCCTTTTCTCCCAGATCTTCTCCCTTTCCTCCCTAAGATTTCCCCCCCCCCCCCTTCCTCCCTAAGATCTTTCCCACCCTTTCCCTGTTGAGATCCTTTTCCCCCTTTCCCTCCCAAGGCCTTTCCCCCCCTGAGAGCTTCTCCCTTTTCCTTCCTAAGATCTTTTCCCCCCTTTCCCTGTTGGCCTTTTTTCCCCAGATCTTCTCCCTTTCCTCCCTAAGATCTTTTCCACCCCTTTCCCTGTTGAGATCATTTCTCCCCTTTTTCCCCTAAGGCCCTTTTGCCCCAGATCTTCTGCCTTTCCTCCCGAAGATCTTTCCCCCCCCCTCAGTTCCTTGTTGAGATCATTTATTTCCCCCTTTTTCCTTCTAAGGCCTTTTCCCACCCTCAGTTCTTCTCCCTTTTCCTCCCAAAGATCTTTCCCCCCCTTTCCTCCCTAAGTCCTTTTCCCTGAGTTCGTCTCCCTTTGCCTCCCTAAGATCTTTTCCCCCCTTTCCCGCTTAAGATCCTTTCCCTCGTTTCCCCCCTAAGGCCTTTTTTCTGCCAAGATCTCCACCCTTCTTTTCCCAAAGTCTTTTCCCCCCTTTCCCGTTTGAGATCCTGTCCCCCCATTGCCCCTTAGGGCCTGTTCCCCCCGAGAAAGATTTCCCTTTTCCTCCCAAAGATCTTTTCCCCCCTTTCCCCCTTAAGGCATTTTGTCCCCAGATCTTCTCCCTGTCCTCCCTGAGATCTTTCCCCCCCTTTCGCTGTTGAGATCCTTTCCCCCTTTCCCCCCTTCATTTCCTTCACCAGCAAGGGCAACATCCCCAGCATCACTTGCATCATCTGCATCCTTGGCAGGCGCTGATGCGGATGATGCAGGTGATGCTGGCGATGTGCCGCTGGAGCTGCTAAGGATGCGAAGGCGCACCCGGGGGGAATCGAACACCCCAATGTTTTTGACAAACTGGGTTGCGCAAGCCCGCACAATGAACAGATTTAGTGAAGCG